CAACCCTCTTCCTAGGCTCTTGTTTGCCTCTCCCCACTTGAGGTTCACGAAACGGTTCCCGATTTCCGGGTGCTGGAGACTTCGAGTTGGCAAGCTGTGAGCTTGACTCAATGGGTTCGCGGCGTTCGCGGGGGACACCTCTGAACATTCCAGTGATTTTGAGGGTGCTTGGTCTGATACCGCAACCCAGGGGAATTGGCTAGATGAACTGAACTGGTGTGTTTTGCTTCTGGTATGTTTCTGGTGACCACTCTTCTGCCCAAATAGACTTGGACTGCTCCATGGCTGTCACCCCACACAGCAGGGACTCTCCCAAAATGGTTAGTTTCCTTTTGCTTTCCCGGCATTGAAAAGCATCCATTTGCGATTCCTCGACGTAAAGGCGAACCTAGCCACCTAAAAGGAAAGCAACGCGCGAAGCTTTCGCCGACTAGACCCTCTTCCATGTCTCGGGCTCGTCCAAGTGATCTCATCTTGCCTCAACCTGACGCTTGGCCGCTGCGGAAAGCGAACGCCTCTTTTGGATTCCTGCGAACGCTGCCTCTCCACCAACACTGCCTTACACTGGCTTTGAGTAGATGAGTTCCAGCCGCAGCTGTTGGCTGCTGGCTGTGTACCCAAAATTGCACCAACTGACCGCTCAGCCAACAAGCACCCGCATCGTGAGTCAGGCGTATTGGGAATTGAGTGCCGTGTCGCAACGAAAACCGTTGAGCAAACCTGTACACTTCTCCGCTTCTGCGGATCACTCCCGCGCACCATGAAGCGCTTCCGGGTGGAGCAACCCCATGGAGCCCATGTTCGTACCCTAAGAAAGAACCCTGCAGATGGTTCTGGGGTGGGGGGGGGTTGGTTGCTTCGCAAACCTAGGGCTCCATAGAGTACTCGCGAAAGACTCGGAAGCACTGCCAGCGCCGGGTCCAGTCCAGCTTGGGCTTCTCAAAATGGTCCTAAAGCCAAGTGGCAACTAGCAACGTGTCAAGTTCGGTATTTTGAGAAGCGCCAAAGAACAAAATCGCCCTTCCAGCATCAAGGGCCTGTGGATTACCTGGCTTCAACACGTGGAGTCCAAATCCTTGAAAGGACCGCAGTTGCAACAGATGGTGGTTGCTGGTCCAGCCACCGCAACACATGCAAGCCCTAACAAATTGGCCAATGCAGAGGTATCGAACAGCATCAAGGCAATGTGTCCAAAAGAGCGCCGCCCTCTGCGGTTGATTTGACTGGACACAAAAGCATTTTGCTTTGAGCGTGGACACTAGCAGTACTTTCGGGGTGGGGATAGTCTCCACCCACTGCAGGAAAGTGCGCGAGACACAGCACCAGCTCGCATGAGGGTTTGCAAAAAGGGCAATTTTGCACGGACCCTCTTCACCATCAACGCTATCAGCAAGATGGCTGCGGGCCGAACGCTGAGCCCCAGGCAATCGCGACTGCAACAGCTCAACCGAATCAAACGATGCTTTCCCATCCGCCCGACCAGTCGACCAGTAACCAGTTGGATGTTGTCTCATAAGTTCTGCAACACGATTACACAGAGCACGGTAGTAGCTGGTTGAGTGGACATCTATAAGGCCATAATGGCAAACGCCCTGCAAGATGATTTGCTAGCCGCAAGGTCCACGTGCAAGCCATGAACAAATCTATTCTGAGAGCTTCACCAAGACCCCCTACAAACTGGCCACTGCAGAGGTATCCAACCAAATCATGGAACTGTGTCCAAAAGAGCGGGTTCCGGCCCTCTTGCTTTGAGCGTGGACACTTGCATGCTGACTCCAACTTGCCGATTCTCACTTCTGAACCACCGGCTCTTCCGACCTCAGCGCTGCAAAGGCCGCCTGCACTCCAGGCACTCCAGGTCCGCGTGAGAGATGCATGAGCTGGCCGAAGCTGAGCCTAGAAAGGCCATCTCCCAGACTTAAAAAAGCTCCCGTGGTACTGTGGATGGGGCAAATCCATTTCGCAGCACCTAAGTCCTGGAATGATTCGATTCCCCTGCAAATACCCACAAACCTTATGGTTTTTCATGGTTTCTTCGGGGCTGCCAAATGGATTTCGTGCATCCACAGCAACAGCGGCCTAGGTTTCCCCCAGCCCCATGCCTTGCCAGGCGCCCAGCGAGCTTTCCCACGCCCGCAATCAGCGCATTGGAGGCGGGGAGAGATGCCAGGTGAGCCTCCATGAGGCCCAGTACGCGGTCTGCGCCTGGGATCTTCCTCGCTGAAAACGAGAAAAGCGGATTTTCCACGGCCAACAGCCACGCTCGGCGTCGAAAACGCTGAACAATTCGCCTAATTACCCCCAAACTCGACTCGAAGTAAAATCTTTGCGCCAAGGCTCTTGGCACGCAGGTGTGGGAGTACCAATGCCAGAAGATCCGCCTCGCCCAGCTGCCTGAGCAGCTCGCGGTCCGCCCTTCTGAGCTTGGCTCGCTTTGGGTGAGGCAGGTGGCAGAAGCTGCAGGAACTGCGCCTGGGACACGCACCGGAACCGTAGGCCAAGTACAGGCAGGGCTTGAAGCAGAGCTCCGGGTGTCCGGCACTGCCCTCTGACTGCTCTGACCGCTCTGACTCCAGAAAAGCCAGGGCCGAGGCACGCTCCTCCAAGCTCTCCACGTAGGATCTGTCAGGGCAAGGTTGTCGCGGCACATTTGCTCCCGCGCTCTTGGATCGAGGTTCTTGCTTCGGCTGCTTGATCGAGATAAAGGTCGCCTCGTACGTGCAGAACAAAGCCATTCCGACTGATGTGCAACTGGCGTGGGCTGAAGACTCCTTGGAAGCCCTTTTCTTGAGCGGCAAATCAATGCGGAGTGAAGAGTCAGCAAATCATTCCATGTTCCTGATCCTTTGGAGACTTTGGCCCCGAGGACGAATCAACCCAGGGTTGACTTAGAGACTGCTCCATTCGAGAGGAAGTTGTCGTATTCATCCGCAAAGTATTTCTCATTCCGGGGTCAACATTCGCAAAACAGTATGGGACAACTTGCTACATCAGCTTCAGGTACCCCCCGGAATCCACAACCCTCTTCCTAGGCTCTTGTTTGCCTCTCCCCACTTGAGGTTCACGAAACGGTTCCCGATTTCCGGGTGCTGGAGACTTCGAGTTGGCAAGCTGTGAGCTTGACTCAATGGGTTCGCGGGGGACACCTCTGAACATTCCAGTGATTTTGAGGGTGCTTGGTCTGATACCGCAACCCAGGGGAATTGGCTAGATGAACTGAACTGGCGTGTTTTGCTTCTGGTATGTTTCTGGTGACCACTCTTCTGCCCAAATAGACTTGGACTGCTCCATGGCTGTCACCCCACACAGCAGGGACTCTCCCAAAATGGTTAGTTTTGTTTTCCCGGCATTGAAGAACATCCATTTGCGATTCCTCGACGTAAAGGCAAACCTAGCCACCTAAAAGCAAAGCACCGCGCAAAGCTTTCGCCGACTAGACCCTCTTCCATGTCTCGGGCGTCTCGGCACTCGGCTTAGCTGAGGAGCCGTGGGGGCTCTTGTAGTCAGTGCCCCGGATGTTGGTGATGCCCCTGTTCGTGGCCATGATCACAATCGGGGCAGAATCTGCCTGCGGGATGTCGATTCCCAAAAGCGGAGCAAGAAGAACCCCGCCCCCCTTCCCATCGCGGGCTAAATCAAACGAGCGTTGGGTACCCACCCGTATTGGCGTATAAAGGGAAACTACATCATTTCTGTGGTCCAATTCCTTTAAAACACACGCACACGCACACGCACACCCATTTGGGGTCTGGTACCCTTATTGGCTTGGTCGTTCAAGGGAAACTGAAGGGGGACACCATCATTTGCGTAGTCCAACTCCTTTAGCACACACACGCACGCACAACGCACACCCATGTGGGGTTGGTACCCTTATTGACTTGGTCGTTAAAGGGAAACTAAAGGGGGACACCGTCATTTGCGTGGTCCGATTCCTAAAACACACGCACACGCAGACCCATTTGGGGTTGGTACCCTTATTGGCTTGGTCGTTAAAGGGAAACTAAAGGGGGACACCATCATTTCTGTGGTCCGATTCCTAAAACACACGCACAATTTTGGGTTGGTACGCGTGTTGGCTTGGTCGTTAAAGGGAAACTAAAGGGGGACACCGTCATTTGCGTAGTCCGACTCCTTTAGCACACGCACGCACAACGCACACCCATGTGGGGTTGGTACCCTTATTGGCTTCCATCATTTCTGTGGTCCGATTCCTAAAGCACACGCACACGCACACCAATTTGGGGTTGGTACGCGTATTGGCTTGGTCGTTAAAGGAAACTAAAGGGGGGCACCATCATTTGCGTGGTCCGATTGACACCAAAGCATACACGCACACGCACACCCATTTGGCCTTATTGGCTTGGTCGTTAAACGGAAACTAAAGGGGGACACCATCATTTCTGTGGTCCGATTCCTAAAGCACACGCACACGCACACCCATTTGGGGTTGGTACCCATGGTGGCTTAGTCGTTAAAGAAACTCAAGGGGGGCACTGTCATTTCTGTGGTCCGATTCCTAAAACACACGCACACGCACACCCATGTGGGGTTGGTACCCTTATTGGCTTGGTCGTTAAATGGAAACTAAAGGGGGACACCATCATTTCTGTGGTCCGATTCTTAAAAAACACACGCACACGCACACCCATTTGGGGTCTGGTACCCTTATTGGCTTGGTCGTTCAAGGGAAACTGAAGGGGGACACCATCATTTGCGTAGTCCAACTCCTTTAGCACACACACACGCACGCACACCCATGTGGGGTTGGTAGCCTTATTGACTTGGTCGTTAAAGGGAAACTAAAGGGGGACACCGTCATTTGCGTGGTCCGATTCCTAAAACACACGCACACGCAGACCCATTTGGGGTTGGTACCCTTATTGGCTTGGTCGTTAAAGGGAAACTAAAGGGGGACACCATCATTTCTGTGGTCCGATTCCTAAAACACAAGCACACGCACATCAATTTTGGGTTGGTACGCGTGTTGGCTTGGTCGTTAAAGGGAAACTAAAGGGGGACACCATCATTTGCGTAGTCCGACTCCTTTAGCACACGCACGCACAACGCACACCCATGTGGGGTTGGTACCCTTATTGGCTTCCATCATTTCTGTGGTCCGATTCCTAAAGCACACGCACACGCACACCAATTTGGGGTTGGTACGCGTATTGGCTTGGTCGTTAAAGGAAACTAAAGGGGGGCACCATCATTTGCGTGGTCCGATTGACACCAAAGCACACACGCACACGCACACCCATTTGGCCTTATTGGCTTGGTCGTTAAATGGAAACTAAAGGGGGACACCATCATTTCTGTGGTCCGATTCTTAAAAAACACACGCACACGCACACCCATTTGGGGTCTGGTACCCTTATTGGCTTGGTCGTTACAGGGTAGTACTAGTAGTAGAAGTAGTAGTAGCAGCTGTAGTAGTAGTAGTAGTGGTAGTAGTAGTAGTAGTAGTAGTAGTAGTAGTAGTAGTAGTAGTAGTAGTAGTAGTAGTAACAGTAGAAGCAGCGACTGCAGTGGCGCGGAAGCTTTGAAAAGACTTGGCGTTGGCCTTGTTCGTTGCGCGGGTATGATTCGGGTATGATTCGCGGGTATGATTCGGCTAGGTGCAAAACGGCACTGATTACAAACTCAGAATGATGAATGTGGTGGTAGCTGTGGTAGTAGTAGTAGTAGTAGCAGTAGTAGTGGTAGTAGTAGTAGTAGCAGTAGTAGTGGTAGTAGTAGTAGTAGTAGTAGAAGTTGCAGAAGTAGTGGTCGCAGCTGTAGCATAAGCAGCAGAGGCTGTAGTGGTGCGGACGCTTTGAAAAAGACTTGGCACTAGCCTTGGCAGGGGAAGCTCATTGTCCGGGTATGATTCGGGTATGATTCGCGGGTATGATTCGGCTAGGTGCAAAACGGCACTGATTACAGACTCAGAATGATGTATGTAGTAGTAGTGAGTAGTGGCAGTAGTAGTAGCAGCAGCAGGAATAGTAGTAGTCAAAGGAAGTTTAGAAGGAACTTCCGAGTTACGGCAACTAATTGAAAGCCAGCTCTCGCTGAGACAGATGAAGAGAAGGAATAAGCACGCGAGACAATATGCGCGCGCGTGTGGTGGGAGTAAGGAATCTGCAAAAAGCGTGGCCCCGTGCGTGAATTGGTGTCTCCGGAGAGCTGGAAGCTAGCCTGTTCGCGGCGCCTGGTCGAAGCGCGTTCGGAGCGCGTTCGGAGCGGGCTCGGAGCGCGGGCCCATGGGCAACGCGGAGGTTTCGCAAGGGTTGAATTGCGTGGCAGGCGCAGCACTTTCGCAGGGTGAGGTTCAGATTTCGTGGCAGGCGCTGCACTTTCGCAAGGTCAAGTTTTCCCAAGGTTTGAATTGCGTGGTAGGCGCAGTACTTTCGCAAGGTCGAGCACAGATTTCGTGGCAGGCACAGCACTTTCGCAAGGTCAAGCACAGATGTTGTGGCAGGCGCAGCACTTTCACAAGGTCAAGTACAGAATTCGTGGCAGGTGCAGCACTTGCGCAAGGTCAAGTGCAAAATTCGTGGCAGGCGCATCACTTTCGCAAGGTCAAGTACAGATTTCGTGGCAGGCGCAGCACTTCCGGAAGGTCAAGTACAGATTTCGTGGCAGGCGCAGCACTTTTGCAGCCGGGGCTCGAAAATCGCAACTTTTAAGTACGAAGCTGGGCTCGAAAATCGAAACTTTTAAGTACGAAAGTAGTACGCGAAGTCAACTTTCGGGGCTTGAAAATCGCGACTTTTAAGTGCAGATATGATATAGATGGAGAGACAGATAGATCGATAGAAAAAGAGATAGAAAGAGATAGAGAAAGAGACAGAGAGATAGATAAATAGAAAGAGAGATAGAGAGATAGATAGATAGAAAGAAAGAGAGATAGGTAGATAGAAGGAAGAGAGAGAGATAGATAGATAAGATAGATAGGTAGATAAATAAATAGAAAGGTAAATAGAAAGAAAGAGAGATAGAGAGAGAGAGAGATAGATAGATAGAGATAGATAGATAGATAGATAGATACGCGGGAGATAGATGGAGATAGATAGATAGATAGAAAGAGATAGAAAAAGGGATAGAGAGATAGAAAGAAAGAGAGATAGAGAAGTGAAAGTCATAGATAGATAAACAAACAGAAGATAGATAGATAGATAGATAGATAGATAGATAGATAGAGAGATAGATAGATAAATATATAGAAAGAGAGATAAAAAGATAGATAGATAGGTAGTTGATAGAGAAATACATAGATAGGTAGATAGGTAGATAGATAGATACATAGAAAGATAGAGAGGTAAATAGATAGATAGGTAGATATACAGATAGAGAGAGATAGAGGGATAGCTAGAGAGATGGATAGATAGAGAGATAGGTGAAAATATAGATAGAGAGATAGAGAGATGTATAGATAGATTTCTGTGGTCCAATTCCTAAAGCACACGCACACGCACACCCATTTGGGGTTGGTACCCTTATTGGCTTGGTTGTTAAAGGGAAACTCAAGGGGGACACTATCATTTCTGTGGTCCGATTCCTAAAACACACACGCACACGCACACCCATTTAGGGTCTGGTACCCTTATTGGCTTGGTCGTTAAAGGGAAACTAAGGGGGGACACCATCATTTCTGTGGTCCGATTCCTAAAGCACACGCACACGCACACCCATTTGGGGTTGGTACCCTTATTGGCTTGGTCGTTAAAGGGAAACTAAAGGGGGACACCATCATTCGGTGGTCCGATTCCTAAAACACACACGCACACGCACACCCATTTCGGGTTGGTACCCTTGTTGGCTTATTTTGTTAAAGGGAAACTAAAGGGGGACACCATGATTTCTGTGGTCCGATTCCTAAAACACACACGCACACGCACACCCCTTTTGGGTTTGTACCCTTATTGGCTTGGTCGTTAGGAACCCAAAGGGGGTCACCATCATTTCTTTGGTCCGATTCCTAAAACACACGCACACGCACACCCATTTGGGGTTGGTACCCTTATTGGCTTGGTCGTTAAAGGGAAACTAAAGGGGGACACCATGATTTCTGTGGTCCGATTCCTAAAACACACGCACACGCACACCCATTTGGGGTTGGTACCCTTATTGGCTTGATTCCTAAAGCACACGCACACGCACACCCATTTGGGGTTGGTACCCTTATTGGCTTGGTCGTTAAAAGGAAACTAAAGGGGACACCATCATTTCTGTGGTCCGATTCCTAAAACACACGCACGCGCACACCCATTTGGGGTCTGGTACCCTTGTTGGCTTGGTCGCTAAAGGGAAACTAAAGTAGGACACCATCATTTCTGTGGTCCGATTCCTAAAACACCCATTTGGGGTCTGGTACCCTTTTTGGCTTGGTCGTTAAAGGGAAACTAAAGGGGGACACCATCATTTCTGTGGTCCGATTCCTAAACCTAACGGATCCCAAGTCTGCCTCTCCGAAGGCCTTGGCATCAGAGCTCTTTCAATGCACAGAAGACAAGCCAGCAGCTTGATGAAAATGCGTGACGTTCCTTCTAATTCCCTGTTTTCAACCACCCCACAAAAGGGTACCCTCAAAAAGGAGACAGACCCAGATGACCTCTGGGCATGTTTGGTCGGCGCACATCGACAGCTGTCGTGTTGCCAGCTTTTAAACCGAATGTTGCATGCGGAATGCTTCGCAGGCCCCATTTCGGGGGATGGCCAGCAAGCTGCAGCATCGAGGTCTCGCAGAAGTGTGAAAGGCACCGCCTTTCCTTGAACACGATCAACCACAGTGGGCACACTGTACGCCTTGATCTCCAAATCATACACATAAACGCACATCTTTGGCGCAACGGCATTCCCAACCTCAGACCATGAACTCCGGCAAAACTACTTTGAGCCAGCGCTTGTTTCCATAGCAAGAGGACTTACGACTAGCGCCTTTCTTGGTCCAGTTGTTTGAGACACTGCGAAACAGGAATCTGCAAAAGCCTGTCGACTGGCCGCGATCTTTAAATGTGAGCTGGCTTGCCCAGAGAAGACTCGGATCGGGGTTCGCGTGGGTGTTCAAATTGTGGCCACTGTTTTACAGCCTGGAAAAAGCTGAGCCAGCTCGCACCCTCTCTTTGGTTGAGTGGAAAGACAAATCCAAAGCGAAAAATGGGGCACCCTCTCCTTGGTTGAAATGGCTGTGGGTCAAAACCAATGGGATCCCATTTTGGGGTAGGTGAATTCACCACGCATTTTAGAACCTATGAAAAGTGGTTGGATTGAATCGGATGTTCACTCGAGCTACGATTTGGCTTTTGACCCATGGCCACAAACGCCTTGACGGACCCCCACGAAACTGGATTCTAACCTGGGCCCATCTTGAGAAGGTACCCTTCAGGTTGATCTGAAGGGAAACCAAAAGGGAAATCAACCATATCAACCACGGGCAGACTAGAGTTTAAGCCTGAAATAAAGAATCCACAAATAATCAACCTTTATCATGAGCTCGTTTTGCCTCCCAATCTTGCCACAGTTTGTCCACCACCTTCCAATTTGCTTAAAGCCCCTGGAAAAATACACACGCTTCCAGTGATATATGCTTCCCTTCAAAACGATAAAAGTGGAAATAGCACATATATTCTTGAGCAAAGGGAAGCCACCATCCTTCCTTCGAGGCGGGTTCCCCAAGCAATTCGCGACAAACCCGGGCATCGGATGCGATGTTTCCGCCCCTCACTGGCCCTTCTTGTCCTGGCAACGAGGGACACGGGACCGGTGAGTTTCGATGGACCCGTTTCTGGACTTCACCTAGGGTTTTTGGAGTAGAGAGGCTTGAATAAGTTGGTACCGTTTCTTTCTTCCTTTTTGTTCGATGGGCCCTCTGGACTTCCACTTTTACCGCCCCCCAAAATTGGCAAAAAAAGCCGGCCTCACAGTGATCCGAACATGGGCTCCTTGCGCGGTTGTTGCACATTGCAACCTGACACCAATATCAATATGCAATAGGAGCGAGCTTCTGGTTTTTTGACCCTTAAAGTGAATGTTGATGGCTTCTCAACATTTTACCCATGAGAACGGCTTCGCTTTCAAGCAATTGAAGCGTTGAGTCTTGGGATGGGGCTTGCTGGTCTGCTTCTCGATGCGCCAAAGTCGTGGTGTGAGCCTTACCAGATCTTGCAAGGTTAAGAGCGGGTCGGTTGGGGAAAGCAGACACCATTCACCAACTTTCTACCCTAAACATTTGCTTGTAGGGAGACACCACCTCCCGAAATTGGTCTCAAACAAACTCCCCATAAAAAAATAAGCTCAGGCGATATCCCCAACAGCACCACGCCCCCCCAGAATCCTCGCGGAACGCATCGCCGCCGATGTTGCTGACAATGCCGCCTTGTAACTTTATAAAGCAAAGCTCAGAGTGACAGCGCAATCGCGCTCTGATCGGGGCCCGACGGCGCAATCGGGGCTCGATCCCGATCGGGGCCCATCGGGGCCCCGACCGGGCCCAATGGTCCCGTGGTAGCTTTTGCGGAACTTGGTGGAAACCTCGTGGAGCATTTTTGGAACCTTACCCCATAGCCCTTGCAGCCTCGTGGAATTCTTGGAGCCCAAAGCCCACCAAGTAATACTCAGCAACGCCAAGCATTTACTCTGATTTGCCACAAAGCCAACATTTCGGGCCGCGTTGCCTGAGCAAGTGAGCAGGTGACGGAACAATGAAAGTGTGCTGAAAACCATTGATTTCGGTTTTGCTTAGTGTTCCGGCCATGAGCAAAGCGATTACTGCCCCGATGGCTTTTCAGATGGCGGGCGCACGACACACAGGGCGAAACTCTGTGGAACCCTGTAAAACCTCAGGGCCGCCAGCCCTCGCAGCTGGTGGCGCCCTGGTGGAACCCCACCACAGACCACCCAGCCCGGTGCAACCCTTTAGTGGAACACGACTCCGACGCAACCCTTGCAGAAAATGGTGGAAACCCTGCTGGAACGCTCGTGGAACCCTCGTGGAGCCTCACCTCAACCGGACCACCCCGCAGCTGTTGCAGAACCTGGTGGAACCCTGGTAGAAACTGGTGGAAGCCTGGTAAACCCCTGGCTCGTTGAACCTTACCTCAAACCACCCCGGACCACCCCGCAGCCCACAGAGAACCTGGTAAAACCCTGGTGGAACCCTCGTGGAACCTTCCCGGAACTCAAAGCAATTTGTGGAACCCCCTGGTGGAACCCTGGTGGAACCCTGGTGGAACCCTGGTGCCCTGGTGGAACCCTCGTGGAACCTTACCTCAAACACCCCGGACCACCCTTGCAGCCTTTGCAGAACCTGGTGGAACCTTGGTGGAACCCTGGTGGAACCCTGGTGGAACCCTGGTGGAACCCTCGTGGAACCTTGCCTCAAACCACTCGTGGAACCTTACCTCAGGGCCGCCCCGGACCACCCCGGAGCCTATCTGGGCTGAGACCCCAAAGCTTTCAGCTGTTGGGGGAAGAAAAAAACAGAAACAACAAATCGTTTCTGATGGCTGAAAGGTTTGAGACCATGTTCAATGATTCCGTTGCACAAAGGAACCTGGATTCCAGGTTTGGGGCTACCTACTTAGGGTTCTGAAAAAGGGTATGGAACAAACATGCATCAACTTTCTGCTTCCTTTTCGGAAGGCTGACCCACTTCATCTCATGCCAGTGTCCCCACCTGAAGTCTGACCCGAAAACAAGCCCCCCCTCCCCCCGCAAACCCAGAGTTCTCCGTCTTTTCCAGCGTCATTTTCGCTTGGAGCAGCGAAAAAGATGCGACCCACCGTTGACCCGAGAAACATCGGCGATGCTCTGAGCAGCTGTTTGCCAGGTTTGTTTTTGGAGCGACCAAACAACCCTCCAGCCGCTGCAAACTTCGCGAGAAAAAGCCCTTGGTTGACGTTGGAAGGGAAGCAACACATTTCACATTGTAGCAGTTGAGTGGTTGGATTGTAACCACTAAACCACAATAAGCAAAAATATAAAATGTTTCCCAACAACCATGAGCCCTCTTGATTCATCTACGATGCTGGCGCTTGCAGTGCCTCTCATTTTAATTATGAAGGGAGGGTGAGAGCCATTTGCAAGGACTTCGGATTAGGTTCGACCACGCCCAAGCGTGAACTGTGGGATCGGACTTTGATGGGATCAAGTAAAAGCCACGTAAGTGGCATATTTGGGCATACTATGTCAGGGTCTTGCAACAGGAACCCGGGACTCACCGGATCTTTCTTTTGTTTTCGGGTACTCTCCGCAAAGGCGTTGAGATCCAAACTTTGGCGTAACAAAAGCCAACCCCAAAATCGGGCTGTCCGGTTTCAGATCTGCTACAAGCTTTTAACTTTTGGTGACATGGGAACTGCCACCCGACTAGGAACAACTAAACACCTAAAGAACTGGATGTCTGGCAACCAAGACGAAGATCCCCAGAAAAGAAGCCCTGCAGGCATCGCCCACTGCAGGCATCTGCCTCCCTGCCTCCCCACCCAGCCTCCTCAGGCTCCGAATTGGAGCTGCCCTCAATCTTCCAGTCACAAACTCTCGACCGGCAGGGCAACAATGGGTGGGTGGCTCTTCTTCTTTCAGCGGACCCCCCCCCCAAAAAAGGGGGGGGGAAAGAAGAGAGTGGGTGGATAGTCCTTGAAAACCACCAAAAGGAGGTTCCCTCCAACAAATTTGCGAATGTCCTCTGATCAATAAACGGCCCCCTGCTGACATTTTTGATGCGCCCGAGGAAGTCTACCACACCTAGCTCGGAAACCTGAAATTCAGCGAGAGCTCGCCGAGATTCCAGAAGACTGGCTGGACCAAGTTGCGAGGGTTTCCACACAGAGGGGCTCAATGGCCCAAAGCCGCTTGAGTCACAATCAAGACCGATCGGTCTTAAAATGGTCTACCCAGCATGCAAAGAATGAGCAAAAGACGCGGAATTGGTTCGAAACCCATGTCTGCCATTGTCCCATCATTGTCCCTTCCCCTCCAACCCGGGTTTCGATTTTGACGAAGCGGGGCCCATTTTCAGCGGGATCATCCCTAGCTCCACCCGAATCGGTTTCGTGGCTCTCTTGAACCTTTTGGGCCGATTTCAGGCTTCGGTGGACAAGTAACTGAGCTGCCCCATTTCAGATCCCCCGCTAAAAGTGACTAACTTATAGCGGGTTAAATGGAAACTACCACAAAACACTACAAGGCTAAAGAGCTAAGGAACCGGATGGGAGCCACCAAGGTAAAGGTGTTGCAGCTTCATCTCAAAGCGACTTCACGCAAAGGTGCCCAGTTCGGTTGAACATAGAACTTATTTCCAAGCAGCGAGCTCCAAAAGAAATCGTTGTTCTGACGGCACGCAGCGCTTCCAGCCAAGTTCGGTATTTTTATCTCCAGGTTTTGCATGGGTTTCGACTGGTCACCTGCTGTCAGGGCTCCCTATATGTCTAAGATCATGCCACCAAATGGAAACTGTCAACATAAGCGACCCTCAAACTCGGCGGGTTTCCATTTCTTCCAACGTCAAAAAAGGCTTGACAAAACAAACAACTCACTTGACCTGAACTTTGTTGGTCCTCTTTTTCGTGCGCTTTGAATCGGGACACCGGCGGCCCCCGGTTTCCTTTGGCCCCGCTCTTCTCTCGCGCCTCGTACTCGCGGCCTGCCTCGTGCCCGGAAGTGCCACGGATCAATCGCGCCAGGATCCGCAGGAAGAGGGCGTACCAATACCTCGCCGGACCGGAGCCGAGCAAAAAAACGGCGCCGATGCGCCCCGCTTCTGCCGATGCGCCGAGGCTTGGCCTCAAAAAAGAATCAAGGAGGCGGAGGCTGATGAGAACTTTTCTGTCGCTCGCATGAGCCCCCGTCTCTCAGAGTTGGGGTGAATCAGTATGTCTTCTGTGACTGTGCTCCCTGTCATCCCCTTAACCCCTCGACGGTAGAACAGTAGATATTAACTGCTCAACATGGGGTTCGGTGAATTCCCGCACCTTTAGATATGCCTGCAGCCAGCCCGTCCTGTCAGCCGTGAATTATAACATAACCCAACTGGAGAAAAGACACGGAGCCAAGGAAGGAAGTGCTGCATCTTCAGGTCTGGAGAAACATGCAGCTAGCCCTGGTCAAGCATCCAAAAATGTGGTGTTTAACGAACCGCTAAGGTCGCCATCATGATTACAGTATGCAAATATGGCCCCCGGTTTGGTGAATCGTGGGGACTTCCGCTATCCTCAGGGCCCCGAGGCTTTTCGCTGGCAAAGGGTGCGGACCAAAAGGCGGGTGCCACTTGAGAACTCTCAGAGCTTTTCAGTTGGGTCATAACCACGTGTCAGCCATATTCACCAGGGCCTTTGTTTGGGAAACACCCATTTTTGGGGTGAGCCCCTTGACGACCAAGACCCTTGGAAAGGTTCTACAGGGTCCCACTGTACATTGTAGACATCTGGGTAGAGTGGGCTCCCCTGGTTTGTCAACCTCTTCCCCAGTTGCGTGGTGACGTCTCGAGCGGGCAGTGGAACAACGAACCGCCTTGTCCTTGTCCGTTCTTTGTTGTAACTGCCCCGACCGAAACAATGAGTTCACATTGATGGAACTTTCAAGAAATGTCTACTTGAAACCCAGGGCTAGGCACTCAACCCGCTCCCTCTGCTGTCCCAATCTGGATACGCAATTTTGGTCAAGGCCTTGAAGGAGTCCTTACAAAGAATTGACCTGGGCCTGTGTTTTTTGAGGGTACCCTTTTCAGGTTGCTAAGCGAGACCTCGCATGGGCTGCCGGTTCGTTCGCTTGGACTGACTGGTTGCTCCAGTCCCTTAGCCTCACGTCGGCGCGACAGGGGGGTCTGTCCGCTTTGAGGCCGCCTTCAGTTTGGGCGTCAACGGGACACCAAAAGGAACCCACCACTTTTAGGGGGGGCGTCCCCTACAAAACTGACAGACCCAAATGAAGGCCAAGATTTGCGCGCGGCCATGTTGAGCGTCACCTTTCCTGCAACTGCAAGAGCTCGAGGAATTGAGACTTGTCGGGTTGCTTAGTCTCAACTCTTCGCTGAGATTTTCACCTACCGGCTGCAAGGGTCGCTTTCAACTCCCTCTCGTGTGGGTGACAAGGTCGTGTGTTCCTGCGATTTTGGCGAGCACTTCAGCAGCTTGAGCAATGTGGCAGTTTGCTGGCGCACAAAGTCTGGCTTCAAAGTGCACAGCCAAAAAGAGGCCAGCGCGGAGACAAATGCAAAAGGGGCATTTTGCTCGCTTAAACCAAGGAAAACCACGCCATCCAAGCAAGGAAAGCGAGGGCACCGAGTGTCTGGGAAGAAAACCTAGATCACCAAGTCGGATTTTAAACCGAATCCGCAGCATTGACGCCAACCAACACCATGGTTTAAGGAGCAAAAGTCATCGGGCCTTTCCACGTCTGTCATCGTCTCTCTTGTGAGGTGTCCTTTTGGTTGAGTTCTAGACGGATCACCCTAGATTCTGAAACCAGGTCCAGGGCCACCCAAACCACCCAAAACCACCCAAAACCACCCAAACCACCCTAAACCACCCAAAACCACCCAAAACCACCCAAAAAAGCACCCAACAACCACCCAAACACCACCCAAAACGGCACGCCTCTGCTTTGGCGAGCCGAGCGGCAGATGCATCACGCCCAGCACCAGCAGCAGCACACGGCAGGAGTTCTGCGGACTGAGCAGCGGCGCCACGAGGTCGTAGTCCCCTCGGGCAAGCGACACGCCCGAAGCGGACGATCAGCGGCGTGCAGATGCCGCCGGAGGTAGAACTTCGAGGCGATTCGGACCCGGAAACCCAAGGGGTTTCAAACAACTGGTGATTGAACGCCTTTCTTTTGCTGGTTTGGTTGAAGTGGGTAAATGTCATCCCCCGCTCGTTGCTTCCTTAAAGCCACAGGAAGACATCCACCCACCAAGCGTTGGGGGAGCTGATTTTCTGTAGAAATCCATGGGCAGTAGGCTGCAACAATGGTACGGGAACTGCCGAACTAACCACAGTTGCTGATACCATTCCGGAAATCTGTTCACGGGCTAGAACCCAGAGAAAAGAACAAGCCAATTGAGGTGTCTATCTATATAATTTGAGTCGCATTCGAGACAAGCCCGATTGGGCTAATTGCTGCAAAGCCGCTCATTCTCTGTCCAGATACTTCGAAACTCCTCAAGCTTGAGCTACACAGAAGTCCACAAAAAGGGGTCAATTTGCGCCAAGTCCGGAGAGACGATTGGTTTGCCACGAAGTTGTGTTCCCAAAAAGTAAGTGAAGCAACTCGGAAGTGAGGTACTCGGGTGTCTTCAAGCAACCCAGCCAAGTCAGCACGCTACAGCTTTTGGGTGCCTTGGGGGCGTTCACATTTCCGCCGGTATCTTGGCTTGAAGCTATTCCAAGTTCTGCTCCCCAGTCTAACACCCACCCTACCCCGCCCATAAACTCCCAACATTGCACTATTCTGCGGGGTCGTTTTCAACGACTCTAGTCCAACCAACAAAGATATGTGCCAGGGGGTTCCATGTTAATTCTTCAAAACTGAGTCGTTGGGTGCCATTCTTGGTTGCCCAAATGGTGACCCAAACCCAGGAAGTCATGAAAACATGGATGCATTGAACACAAGGCTTTGGATCGTATAGAACACAGACTTTGGTCGAGGTTTCTTAAAGTAAGCCTCTGGGCTCAATTCCCGTTTTGCAGGCTTGGTCTCTTGCATTCCTCGCGAATCTGTGCGACCCTGTAGCCTTCGGCTGGATCCCCAGCGCCAATGTAAAACGATATCGGACACGCAACCAAAAGACAATCCCAATACAAACTCCCCCATAAGCTTCCATTTGCTTCAGCATCTGGGAAAAAGAAAAATACTTCCAGTAGTGATCGATTCCTTTTAAAACCACCAGGGGAAAATAAAACATATTCTTAAACAAATAGAAGTTTTGGCTCAAGCATGGCACGCCCTTCTCCTTTCGGGTTCGGATGGCTTGAAAAGAAGGCCGAATCGAGACCCCGAGCGCGGTTTCAACGGAAGGTCGAGCGTCCCCAGCCGGGGGCCAGGAAATCCTTGGGGAGCGTCGACCTGGCGAAAACTCGGTCCAAAGCGGGTGAAATATAACGACCCCTCAGCAAAAAAAAGTCAAAGCACACACACTTTTTAGGCGCTGGAAAACATGGAACCACCCGTCTTTCTCATGCCCTTTTGGCTTCTTTTTGGGGACATGTTGGAAAGTCATTGTTTGTTTGTTTGTGTGTGTGTGTGTGTGTCCTTTTCGGGAACATCAACATTTCCGTGGGTTGGGGGGGGGGCGGAGGGCCGAGTTTGTCTCTCTTGCCAATACTGGGTCCATCTTTTGTGGCATCTCAAGCCTACTTGGATGTTCAACCCACGGTTCGGTGAGTGCATTAAAACTCAGAACTAAGAGATAGTTACCAACCAGTTACACACTCTTATAAGTAAGTTATAAGCCGCTTCACAAGTGGATTGACAATCCAAGAATTTCCACCCATCAAAAGGCAACTGGCAGGTCATTGGGGGGGGGGACTGACATCCGCTTTGTATTCAGCCAACATGACACTGATTTGCACTTCCCCACCCATGGCTCGTTAGCGCGAGGCATTGTTCTTTCAACCCTCACCACCAAACAAAGAGAACCAGCGAATTGCAGCACTCTGAGCACATGCCAAGAATAGTGAAGTGGAGCGGTCGACGCTCCCTGTTTTTTAAACACAGTCCCCGCATGTTGCCATCCTGATGGAAATTGGTTGACCCGCACTCTCACAATCATTGTCCTTTGGCGGTCCTAGTAGCAGCGAATGAGTACAACATGTGAGTCACGCAAGCCTTAAAATCAGAAACCAATCTTCCTGTTCTCAAGGGTGGTGCAGTTTTGGGCGCACATTGACCGGGCCGTTTGGGACGATGGCATCCAAGGATCAGCTTCCATCCTCGTTTGGGGCCCAGTGGTCTGGAGACTGGGTGATTTCCCACCCTCAAGAACCAGGGGTTCAAATCAACCACCCCCCAAACCAAGAAGATACCTGAAACCACCAGGCAGATCTGACCCTTTTTCCCGTGGCTGTGCCGCTTTTGAGCTTTGGGATCCGCTTTCATGAAAGAACCCCGAGTGCAGGTTCTCCAGATTTGGCTGTGGGCTCAAAAAAACGGAATTCCAAAATGGAACCCTGGTAAGTGGAAACGTGGACCAAAACCTGCGGTTTGCCCCTCCTGTTTAATTTTGAGCCACACCCAATTTGAGAGGTTAGAATAAGTTGGTACCCGATTTCTGTTTTTGCTTCTCTGTAGTCGATTTTAGTAGGGGCTTCCCCTCCAACCAAAAAAGGGGGTCAGAAAGGGCAGCTGGGGGATCTAGAAGTGAAGCTCGGCTTCGGCCATCGCCTGATGACCTTCAAAGTGAAGAAGTAGGTGCCTCAGAGGGGGGAGGGAAAGCGAGGATGCAACAACAACATACCCCCCCCCACCAACTGACAGCTCCAACCTGACGTTTGGGGTGTGTGTTTAAAGGGAAACCTCCAACCCCCCCCGCCTGTCAGGTTCCATGTGAATTGGTGGTTGGACTATTTTTCACTTGAACGGCATGGACGTTTGCAAACAGAGCACCGCTAGACTTACCCCTTAAAACTCCAAGCCCTGGGGAAGTTAACCTTTTACAGACATATAGCCCATGTTACCCCCCAAAAAGTTGAAAAGTTGTGTTTTTAAGAGGTAAGTTAGAGGTCATGGGAAGCAGCTTCGCTTGTACCCTGGTGAACTTCCAGTTCCCGCAAATATATCTGAGACACCCCGATCATTCACCATGGCAAACCGATAACAAAATGGCCCGCCCAAAACCGATACCATCCGACACACGGGTTATGTTGTGCTTTCGGCCTATCCTTTGAGATCTCGACACAAGCAGTGCTCCAAGGCTTGCCGTCCCTTGGAACCCTCTGGTCAAACTGGGTGTCGCTTTTTGAGGTGAAAGGGTACCCCTTGGTTCAAACGGCGGACGGGGGAAAGCGATAGCAAAAACCTCCACCTGAACTGCAGGCTCACCAAAAGGGGGTCCCATGGTCTTTTTGCTTGACGCTAACAAAAGGGACATGGTCAACTTGGCTCATACAAGCATGGGCATCACTTGACCCAGGAGCATTCTTTGCTCCCCAAGTCGGACGTGGGAAAAAGAGTGCATGGTTTGTTCGTCCTTTGAAATGAATCATTGGCAATCTGGGGGCGCTCTGAGACGGACATCGTCGACAGATTTAGGGTGGGCACCCCCCGACCAGAGCCATCAGCCAGGTTTCACATGTGTTCTGGGGCCTGGGGGTTTCTCCTGTGCCAAGGTTGCCATCTAACCCTGCTGTAAACTCTCATTCTTGGCAGCTTCGGGAGGAGACCCGAAGGTTTGCCTACTTCAGATTTCGTGCCCGGGATTGGACCAATCCCATCCCCCCCAAAAAAAAATCCAAGGGAAAAAGAGAAAGGAAAAAGAAAACAGCAGCCTTAAGAACACCCCAACACGTTCCTGGTATCAAAGTGGTCTACCAGAGCCAATGCAAAGAATCAACAGGGCGGATATCCGAACCAATTGGTGGTTGGGACTGTCCCCTACCCTTCTACGCGGGTTCTGATGGCTCGTTAGGGTTTGTTAAAATTCGTCCCTTTCTGTTGGTCCGGAAACGTCCCTTCGCGTTGGTCCATTGCCAAAAGGCTTCGGTGCGCTGGTAGCTGATTCAGCCAAGCTTCAGAGGTAGCTCTTGGTTTTGCAGGGCACATCAGGAATTCCGACTGACGCTTTTCGACTTGTACCAAGCACTTGATCAACACCTTCCGGACATTCGGGGCCGAATCCGCAAGGCTCTAGGTTCTGACTTTGCCTCGCCGTGTCCTTTGTGCGACTTCCGATTTGCCTTTTTGGCCCAAGAGGCACATCCAGAGCCAACACCTGTGCCACTTAGGGGGTTTTCTGATTTGTGCCATCTATCCTTCACTTGCCCGCGTGTAGATGGCTGCAATTTTGCGAGGAATTTCCCCAACGGCTGAAAGCTATGGGGTCCTTGTTAAAGGAGATCGAGGTGCGGTTGGCAGCTTGCAGAAGTTCCAGAGGGCTCAAAAACATATCGATTCGATTTGGCCAAGTGAGGGATATAACATTTCAGGTGTCAAAATCGGGGGCGGGGTCTCGCTTTCCTCTAGTTTCCCTTTAAAGAAGGCTTCCCGTCCCCCGCCTCAAACAGAAGCCGCACCCGCTTTCGGCTCTTTGGATCGATCCAAGGGGCGCATCAGGAGCCAGGTCACCAAGTTCACGGCGAAGAAGATCTCGGCCAGAAACGTCCCGCTCTTGGCATCCTGAGGAGACACGCCCAGCGGTAAAGGCCGGAAGGCTGGCCACAGGTTTCCAGTTGTTTTTTGGAAAATACGGGTCTTCAAACGAGGGATGCTTTGAGCAAAAGCTGAGGGATGAGGGACTTTTGGGCGAACTCACAAGTCAGGTGCCCCAAAGGGTTTGTTGATAATTACTTGGAAGCGCAATCCATGCTTAGTGGCACCGGTTACCCCAGCTAATGGCATCCCACTTGCTAAGTTTCAACATCCAAGTCAGCCAAAGGGCTCATGAACTCATGAGGCTCCCAAATCGAAAACCGAGTTTTGACGAGACTTCAAAAGCCACCAGGGGTCTCAAAAAGGAAAACGTCTTGCAGGAACACTTCAAAACCAATAATTGAGTCATGATGTTTTTGGAATCCACTAGTAGATACTGCGTCGTCACAAAAATCTTACAGAATCTTACATCTCTTTTCACACGAGAGATGTGAGGTCCTGACTCAAACCTTTCCTTCGGAAATCAACCCTGAACACCTGCCTGTACCGTTTGCTCAAGAAACGGACCCCCCCAAGGCTTGACGGCTGGTGCAGAACGGTATCAAGGGTCCATTTGATTTGTCCACGGCCTACGCTCCAACGATTGAAGTTGACAGAGTTTTGGAAGACAACTTTCTTTCCTTAAGCCGGGAAGCCCCGCGTCCACTTCCATTGGAGGGTAATTGAAAGCAAGATAGTGTTGATGCCTGACAAAAGCTTGGACCTATGGGCACTGAGTTTCAGCTGGTTGGAGAGTTGGGGTCCTTGGAAAAGGAATTAACCACACTTTCGAGCCGATTGGCATTCCGAAGAAATGGATGTGGGTCATGTTCTATCAGTCCGCAAGCATCATATGGTTCATCCCGAAACTTATCCTTCACCATTCAAGGACCGTCGTCATAGCCCCGGGGCACTGAGAGCCCCGTGGGGTACAAAAACGGGGGTACCATGGCAGCCGTTGAAATGAGATGGCTCAAAATGTTGCGGTCGGTTTTGTTGTTTTCTAGGTCCTCTAGTAGAGAGGTTAGAATAAGGGAACCGTTTCTTTTTGCTGTAGTCTATTTTAGTAGGGGAACCCTCCCCAAAAAAGCGGGTAAACACGCGCTACTGGGGGACCTAGGTGTTTCGCCCATTTCTTTTGGCTCCCTGACAAGGATCAGTTTGCCCTCCGAAGCCGATCAAGACGGTGGCAACCATGATCACGATATGGCATTGGAGTAAGCGGGTTACTCCTACCATGCTTAATGCCCAAGTGGGCTGAACATCCACACTTCCGCAAGCAAAGCACATTGGGAGGGTGTCTTTGTCGAGGTTACCCCTTGTTTGAGGTTTTAAAGGGAAACCACAAGGAGAACCACCATTTTTAGGGGTCCCCTGAAAAACGACACACCCATTTAGAGGACTCTCGTTTTCGGGCAGGGCCGTGGGAATGTTTCACAAGCCGAGCATCGTAGCCCAAGTAGTTGACCATCTTTAACCTGGGCTTTCCGGAGTGCATCGAGCCGCCAAATGGAGAAAAAAAAGAGAAGGTCATCCCTTTTTAGCATCCTGTTGGGACAAGTGAACACATACTCCCTCAAAACCAACGTGGAAGCCAAAAAGGATTTCCTGCGTTTAGCTCCCAACACACGTGCCAAGAAGCGGAAGAAGAGCACACCGCACTTAGTGCTGACTAATCCCCTTAAAAGCTGTGGCCATGTACCCGGAAGCGCCAGAAGCTCGCTCCCCGAAAGGTGTTCCTCGGTCTGCTTCGAAATTGGGGGATCGTGGCGAGTGCTTGTTCTCCTGGTTTCCGTGTAAACCAACATGAAAAGGCGTCTTCAAAAGAGACGCCACACCAAACACACACACACACACCACGCGCATACACATACAAACACATACACAAACACATACACATACACGGCAAAACCAACCAACCAACTGAGCAACCAACCAAACAAAGAAACACAATCAGACACAAAAGCGCGCACGCACAATCAAGCACAAACAGATGCACGCAAGCACGCACAACCACCACACAACCGTACAAACACACACACACAGACACACACACACACAAACAGACAGACAGACAGACAGACAGACAGACAGACAGACAGACAGACAGACAGACAGACAGACAGACAGACAGACAGACAGACAGACAGACAGACAGACAGACAGACAGACAGACAGACAGACAGACAGACAGACAGACAGACAGACAGACAGACAGACAGACAGACAGACAGACAGACAGAGAGACAGACATTTAACCAACCAACCAATCAACCAACCAACCAACCAACCAACCAAACAAATAGACAAACAAACACCACCAAACACCACTCATCGCCCAGACAGACACAGACACTCACACGCACACACACACACAGACACCGTAAATCACGCATCACACACCACACATCAGACAGCACACAACACACACCACATAACTCACAACACACACCACACAAAACACACCACCCAACACACGCCATCCAGCCCCCTACACCACACCAGCCGCCAGCCAGCAGACAGCAGCCACGACCAAGCCTCAACACCCACCCCACACGACACAAATCCCACACTACACACATAACAGACCCCATGCACCACAAACCAAACAAATCACACACTACACACAACACACCCCATGCACCACAGACCACACATCACAAACCACAACACAGCACAACACAGCACAGGGTGGCTACCAGTACCACATTAGCTGCGAGTACCACATTGGGGTCTGTATGCCTTACTTCAGCTTTGTTGGTGGCTAGTGTTGGTAGTATAGGATCCCGACATCCCCGCTGAACCCACGTTGCCGTGACTAAACAACACTGGGACCATGTAGGGTGAAATTGGAAGGAGAACAACGTTCGGCCTCTGCACACAACCTTAGAACCTTAGAAGGGGTTCTGGTCGAAGAGTTCTGAGAATCATTCTGGTGGGGAGGGGGGCCCCCGTTGGATTTGCGCTACACATCCGTAAACCAGATTGCAACCAAACATGTTAAAACAAGCAGTGCCAGGGTTGAGCCTTTTGACAAGGTGGCTATCCTTCTAAAAATAGGAAGAGCACGTTGAAATATGGGCAGGGTCCTTGTAGTTCGCACGCATTGCACCATTTCGGAAACACATGACACGTGCAATGTTTGATCCTTCTAGCATCTTCCAAACGTCTTCAAACACAACCTAAACGCCCACACATCTATGTATTAAATAGTCTCACTTGGGTGCAAACCACTAAAACAGCAGCATGTTGCCTGAACCACTGTATTGGTTCCATGAATATTCAAAAGCTCCCCCGTTTTGGGTTCCCATCCGCGCAGCAGGTCCACAACGATGTCTGAGGAGTCGTGCACGAAGAGAGTGCTCAGCCCTGGCGAAGGGAGCATAGGGGTCATGGCTTTCCCATGCGGGGCTTTGCTTTATCCTGATGGACCCGACTGAACATAGTTCTCCGGCGCATCGTCAAGTCTTGCAAGCTGGGTGATTTCAGTCAATGGACAACTTTTTGGCCCGGTTCACTGCGTCTTCTATGACGCCCGCATGGAGGAAGCAACCAGTGGAGCCTGAAGCAACCGTATTCTTTCACTTGGGAGCCAGACCAAACCCTTTCAGGTCGATTGCCTCCAGAGTAATCTGTTTTTCATGGACATAGCTGGCACCAACCAAACAAGGACGCAAGTCTGTCGCGAAAACATGTAGAGACCATTTGCGGCCAAAAGGTCGGTGGGTGCCGACCATGTTTCACGCCTGACTTGGGCTCTTGATGACCCCAACCCCGGCTAATGTTGACCCCATATCCACCCCAGCTTATTAATAGGGGGGCGTTCCCGCGTTTAGTCGGGAATCATCACTTTCGGAGGGGACCATTCATAAGCTGGGGTTGATTGATATGGGGTCAGCACTAGTCTTCCAGGCTCCAAAACTGGCCATGAATTTTAATTAAGGACCCTCTGGTGGACATCATTTAGGTGAATTCATGGCCAACTGTTGGCCATGTTTCTGGGGTCCAACTCAACGAGATCAAAGGTAACATGGGGCTTTGCTGGTTTCGCCGATTCGCCGATTCGCTGGCTGCGCCCCGCCTATGGGCTGCCAGCCGTTGAAGTAAGACAGCGACACCAGGCCAAGCGTCGCAACGTGGTGCCCGTACATCACCTCGTTACAGAAGCCAAATGCAGTTGTCTCTTCTTTTTCTGGGGGATCCCCCGACAAAAAGTGGGTGTCCCTTTGCTTCTCCATTACAAAAAAACAAGCAACGCAAAAAGGGTACCCTCAAACAAATATACACTCAAATGGACACGCCCAAGTTTTTGGATTGGCCAAAAAGAGTTCCCAAAGTAAAATCAGAATCTCGGGAACTCAGAATTCCACTTGCATGCCCAAAAAAGTCGAGTCATGACCATGTTTTGTTCCCAGATGAAGCATCTGGGGGGAAAACCTGAAGCTTCCACATTCAGCACGACTTGTTTGTTTCACACCTGCTTAAGATATTGCTCCCCTGAAAATAACAACACTCACATTGACAGGCGGTTCCACCTTTCCATTTAGACCGCTTGGATTCCAGACAGTGGCAAATCTTGATCCCCTTTGAGGTCTCTAGGTTGGTTCTATTGCATGCTGGATATCCCGTGCAGCGCATCGGGATCCGTTCGTTACCTTTTCGGGCTGGACATGTCCGGCGCTCAAAACCCGGTTGGGGACCGCCCATACTCGCGAGGATTGGAAGCTCAGAATCTCCAAAACGACCATGTCCTTGGTAGCTCGCATATAACCAATGTACAGGAAACCGCCTGCAAGGGATTCCCAAGTAAAGGACCTACTGGTAAGTGATGTACCCCCGGGTGAGCTGGCGATAAAGCTTTGTTTACCCTCAGTTCGAAAAAGTTGTAATCAAAGTCTATCCAAAGGCACATAATTAAGAGGGCGGATACCTGCACCTATGGCTGGGGCTGTCCCCTTCTACCCCTCCAATGTTGCGCGGGTCTTGACTGTGGCATTGTGGTTCATAGTTCTCTTACAACTTCGAGCTTCGCCGAAACATTTTGTGTACACATTTGGGTGTGAAAAATAGGCGGGGCCCTGACACTGGCGGAATTCCGGTTGGTTTCTCTTTCCAACCGTCCCGAACTGCTCCGAAGGGCGAAGTAGTCGTTGTGCTTGGCCTCCACGAACTTGTGGGAGAAGGCGGTGACGAACCTGCGTGACCGGTTTATGCAAGCCCCAAAAAGCTGCATAAGACAACAACCAAAAAATGCCGGTTTTAGGATAAAGAAGAACAATGACAACCAAGGGATGCCTGCTTTAGGACAAACCAAGATGAAACTTTCTTGAGGATCCTGTGCAAAATGACAACCACCCAAGAATGACAACTGTTTTGGGACGGAAAACCGACGAATCCGGACCCTTCATGTGCAAAAAAGAGGCCACCGGACCTTCAAGGGGATCAGGTGAGAAAATACGGCCTTGGTTTCACAGTCCTTTTGGCAAGTTCTTTCAGAAACGGCCCCTTTAACAGCCTGACCAAAAGAACCCAAGGATTCGGAAAAAGTTGAGGGAAGAAACCCCCCAGCAATCACTTTGCTCTTTGCAGCTCCAATCAACAGTATCAAAAAGCAACAACAACATGGCGAAGTGAAGTTCTCCAAACTTCGCCTCTTCGCCCATTCCACGTTATATATATATATATATGGCCATGGGTCAAAACCCCGTACCCACAGACATCCCAATCCAACCACTAAAATAGGTTCTAACCCACAGCCATATGATTCTCAAGAGCTGGATCGACGCAGACCTTTAAAGGGTCCAACTTGAAAATCTCAAATCGGTTGGGCTTTGCTTCAAGCTGGGACTCGCCAATCGACTCGCCTTTCGCGAATCGAATCGACCTGGTGACCTGCTCGGAATCGATCTGTTGCTTGTCCATGAGTGTCGGCTCAGGCTCGTTTTCGGGAACCCTGGCTGCATAGGGCCGAGATTTGGGTATTTCAAACTGACCTTTTGGACCACGCAGAAGATTTGTGCGGTTTCCTTTTGGCCATGAAGCTTTGTGGGGGTTGTGAGGGTGTGGAGGGAACCCAATAAAAGAACCGGCCATTTTGGGGAGTCCCGTTTCAGACAAACCCATGACTAATGGACACGGGGAAACCAGCTGTCAGATTCCGGGTAAGCATCCGGATGAATGGCTCCACGAAAACGGGCAGCCCGGCACTGGACAAGACTCCTTCAGAGATCAATGGATTCCCCAAATCAAAAGTTGATCAATTGCCTGGCAGCCCCAAGGAGGATTTCCTCTTACCCCGAATCAATCATTCGGCAAATTGCAGAAACCATCGCCTGTTGGAGCACCCTGAAAGAATATTCTTACCTTTTTACGGCACCCGCTCCCACATCTTTTAAAGTGGTTTTTCTGGGACACCGGAAGGATAATTTACAATTTTCGCGGCGCCGGAACAAAATAGCACAGAGGAAAAATAAAGAAGGAACCAGATTCCTCGCAAGGGGCCAAATGGCCAGTTGCGCGATGTAGAGGCTGCGAAGGTCCGAAGGGCACTCGCCGCCTGCGATTTTCTTTCGGAGGTTGGTTCAAATGGCAGCTTCGCCTTTGGAGGTTCCTTAAGCCCGTTTTTTAGGAGCAAACTCGACATGGGTATGGGTCCAAATTACATCACCCAATAAATGTCCTTGTTTCCATTTACCAGGGCAAGCCATATTTGGGTTTACCCTATTTTTGACCCACCTTTCCTAGGTCAAACAGGTAAGCGGCCTATGGGGAACCGGAGGTCTAGCTATTGGCGTATGGCCAGCTTGCCTCTGGGGAAACAAAAGACGAGCCGGTTGCTCTTAGCGTTTGTTCCAAAATGGTTGCCGTTTGGTGTGCCCGCGCCTTTCCGGAGCTTCGACTCGGGAGGGGTCGGTGTTCCCCCGATTCTACCTCTCGTTGGAAACCGGATCTCTTGAAAACCAAATGCAGGTGTCCGTTGAAATCGCTCCGCAAGGGACATGGACCACTCCGAGTCCCCCTCCTCCAATTCAGGATCTCCTTGAGTGGATTGGTGCAAAGTCTGCTTGCTTGGCTACTAAACTAGTGCCAACAAAGTCAAAAGTCTAAGGAACCCTGGAGATGAGGTGTTTTGCAATACCAGCAGGTAGTTCTAGCGGGCGCTCCCCAAGGAGTCGGGTGGAAATTCAACTCAGCAAGTTCAGGCGTTTCGCCTCCAAAAGAGTCGCTTTTTGTAGGAAAGCCCACGCCCACGACCTTCGCAACTTCACGCGATGGAAGCGCATCGCAAGAATCCTTTAAGAGCAAAATGGTCTTCCCATACTGACCCCAAATTCATAACCCCGCGGAGTGTTGGCTGTCTGTGCTTCCAGAGTTGCTTTCTAAAATGGGACACCCTGTTCATCAACCCGGGGTGCGTATTGATCTTGGCTTGCCACTTAGAGCAGCCAAAAGCAACTCTTCTCTGGCGAGCTGCTGGACTGCCAAGGCTGGTTCCACAACGTCCTGCTCACTTCGATTCACACTTGCCGACATACTCCCCTGCGCAAAACCCTTTCGGGGGACCCCTTTGTCGGTTAATTTTCAAGGGAATACCGCTGTATCCCTTCCCTCCCCCCCCCCCCCATTCTATCTAGTTGTTTTTTGTGCCGTGTCCCCATTGAACTAGGTAGACCCCCGAACACGCGGGGTTTGTGCTCAAGTGGGTTGCTGAAAGGAAACCAGGGAACCGTTCTGAGTTGGTAGCCTGGAAAGGAAACCGATTGTCTTGCTGGTTCTCAGCATGGTATGAGGGTTGGGAATGAACGTCCCTTAAACAAAACCACCAGTTGGATGGTTTGTGGGGGGTCATCTCAACTCATTCCAACCGCTTCTCTCGTTCCGTTGCCCCGTTTTTTTTCTCTTTTTTTCTTTTCGGCCATGAGAAGGACACCACGAGACACCTCGAAACATCCGTTTTTTTGGTTTCAGAACCTCTGGGACTCACAGCCCAGGGTGTGCAACAAAACTCTGTTTTTTCAGCAGAGAGGCTAGAATAAGGGTACCATGTCTTTTCTCTGCAGACTATTTTTGTAGGGAACCCCCCCCCAAAAAAAAAGGGGTGAGAAAGGGCACTACTGAGGGACGTCGAAAATGAGAATCCGTTTCATACTGCCCACGTTAAGCTTGGATTGGTGGCTTGTCCTTTCAAACATGTGGACCCTCCAAAATTTTACAATGGCGCAGCGGTTTTCATGTTGGTGTGCAACCCCCAAAACAAGGTACCCTCAAAAACACCGCCAAATGAGTGATGCTCCCTTCCGGCTTCTCCTTTGGAAGCTGGATGTTGACCCATAAGCAGATTCCCTCACCGGTGATTCGACCAAATTCATCCGACGAATCCTGGGTCCAGTGATCCATCTGCCCACTTTATGGGTTTCGAGCTCACCGTCACGGGGGTAAAACGAGCGCACAATGTAGGTCCTCTATTCGATCCGTTTGTTTCAGGTTTGGGATTTGTTCCAAATTTGGCAGGATGTCAAAACCCTGTTTCCCATTGAACCACCCCTAAACTTGGTACCCTCCAAACATGACATGGCTTCAGGCCTTGAAAATAAGAACAACTCTTGATCATAGGTCCTCTTGGTTGAAAATAGATGGATTTCCATGGTAGAGTATGAAACAACCAGATCGAGGGCCCGACATGTTCCCACCAAAACAGCAAAAAAGGGCCCCTATGCTCTTGATGCTTTCTGCCAGCAAATCCCATGTAACCGAACCAAACCGACGGAACCTTTCACAAACCCATGGAACTGATATGATCGAAATGGAACTCAAGCAGTTTCAACAAAAGGATGTTGGATCCACCAAACTTGCAAGGTAGCATGGGCTGTCCGTGTTTTGATGCCCTGCCAACAGTGTTTAACTTGTGGGCTAAATGGACACCCTACCACTAGACCCACTAAAAGCAACTAATCCCAAGGAACCGGACGGCTGAGAACCGCCAAGATTGACATGCTTCATGTCTGACCGAAAGATACCAGGCACCAGGCTTGAATTCCGCGCGGACTTTTTCATTTTTTCAACCAACACACCTTGAAGGGGGCATAGAATCGGGGTTTTCCTGGTTCCTTTGCGCTCAGGTTCGGCTCTGAAATCAAAACCTCCAAGCGGCAATGGGAAACTCGCAGAATTCTGACTTACATCTCCCCTTAAAACATCATACGACGGATGGACGAAATCCTGCACCTAAGAAACCCTGGAGTGATGATTCCCCTGTAAATATCAATGAACAATGGTTGCAACCATGGCTTCTTAGGTGCTGCGAAATTGTTTTTGTCCATGAGTATCCCAAAGAACATTTCGATTCAAATAGTCACGTCGGTTGCCATGGGAACTTGAGGACCACCACTGGGTACCCCGGACACCAATTCGGTGAACTCGTAACCAGTTGAAAGTTGTCCTCGAAACAGTTGAATCACTGACCCCTCTCTTACCGTACGAGTATTTGCCTTGGGGGACACTGAGTAGCATATCACTTGCCCAAACGACCTGGAAACCACAGACACAAGCATCGATCTGCACTAGCTGCGAAACTCACCATGGGGCCAGCAAGGCGATGCTTCTTTCCAGCTAAGAAAGACACCAGGAAGGGACGAGCATGCGACGAGTACCCACTCCTTGTGTCAGTCCACCAGATCCAACCTGACTCACTTCGAATCCGGGAACTCGGACCGTGGGAGGGTTCCTCTTGGGAATCATCGACAGACTTGTCCGAGGCTCCGGATGAAGTTAGCATTCAGGGATTCGGGTGGGTGCCCCCTTCTTTTCGCTCTTGGCCCACTCGCGAAAAAAAATAAAGAAAAAGGATGGGCGCGTGATGTGCAAGGGCTCAAGAAGTCGGAGAACCGGATGGGCAAATCCGGTTAAGTCAGCCTCACACAAACCTCTCAGAACTCGAATCCCCAAAAGTTTGTCACAACGAACTCCGGCCCTTCTCAAAATTGGGGTCGCCTTTCTGCATAAGGGCACACCAAAAGGACACCACCCTGGAGGAGGTGGTCCCTAAGAAATACCCCCACATACGATTCCGCAGGGGTATCACCAGTGGCAACTAACTAAGAAGAATGCAACACGTTCCACACCACCGTAGACCACTTACCCCAAGCGATAGAGATGCCAAGCCTGGCTCCCTGTGGGCCTGGGCAAAGGCTTCATCGACCAGACTTCCGCAACCAGCAAAAATATGGACGCAACAGTCACGAGGACCCAGGATGAATTAAAAAGTCCTGGTTGACAGAGCGATCAAGGGGCATCCCGGAATTCACCTTTCATACTATCAACCCGCATCTTGTTTGTTTCATCCGGGTGTGTCAGAAGCAACCTCGCGCTGCACAAAAGCCATGGCATCGCTGGCACCACCAACCAGCTTCACTAGCACCCGGGGCCCGCATCCCCGGTCTAGCGTGAACGCTGTGCTGCCCCCCCCCTCTACTTAACTAACGGAAACCCTCCTCGGTTGCATTCTGCTCCCCTGCTCAAAGGTGAATAACTTCTAGTGGTTTCAATTGGGAAACCCATGAGTTGGGAAAAACTGGTTCAGTCCTAACATCCTAGGGGTACCTTCCATTTCCATTCTTTCCAGGGATCCTTCTTTGCCGGAAACCATCAAAAACCCAGGGAAACAGATCCGGTTTTTGGAAAGAACGATGGTCCATCTATTTTCAAGCTGAGTTTTGCACCAAAGTCTCGACTTGGTCGCTTTCAATGACTTGGGACCCAGTCCAGCACCCAGTGGCAAGCTTGTTCTACCCCTAGAGCTGCGTATAAGATGAGACATCGGATGTCGCTCTTCTTCTTTGAAGTGATCTGGGTGAATTCTTTTTTCTTCTCTAGCTGCGGACGGTGCGCGTCGCTATCAACATGCACGGCTGGTGTTCAGCCCGCGAAATCGGGCTGGATGGCATCCAGTCTGTGCTGGATGCCACGATGCCAGAGTTCCCACTCCGTGGGAAGCTGGCTTGCCACTTCGGCCCCCAAGCTCAACATACTACGGGCATGTTGCGCAAAACCCCTAGCGACCACCTGGCAAAGCCCCGGGGGGTACTCCTTGGCCGCCGCCGTGCGGAAAGCCCCCCTTGCATCTCTTCCCACCAATGCCATGTGAGCTCCCCTCGCATGATTGCATCGGCCATGGTCGCCTGCAGCTCTGATGCTGTCCCTTACCCCCGGGAGCCGCACCAGAAGCAGCGTGGTTGGCTTCCGACTGGGGGCCCCCAATGTGCATTGGTCGAAGGAGATGACCGACACACAATGCAGCCTCTTCAGCAGCCTGATGGGCTCCAACCTCCATATGCTGGGCAAGGGTCTACCTAACCAGCAAGCGTACTGTGGATGCTCCAAAAAGAAGCATCCTCCAGCTGCCGCAAACCACCACGCAGCATCGATGGCAAAGGCAAGCAAGCGATTAGCCACATACACCTGCTTAGCCTGCTTGGCCTTGAGCCCTTCCAGCCCGTACAGAGCCTCCGCTGACCTCAGGGGAGGGGGGCCGCCCTTCCTGAACCTCGCAGCCGACCAAGATTCGCAGGAAGGGCCGCAGCCTCCACCCAGGATCTGTCCGCTCAAGATCCAGTTCTTCCACTTGTCTGCATTGTCCGTGTTGAGCAGATCACCCATCTCAGCATCAATGCAAATGTCCACCGTGAGCGCGAAGAGCACTCCCCCATCGATCCACTGCTCTCCTTCTATCCAATGAGGGATGTCTCCATCACGCCTCTGCCCTCCGAAGAAGTTGACAAAGACCAGTACCCTGAGGCTGACCGCCATGGCTCCCACTGACAGCCCTTCCATGGCAAACTGGCCCGCTTGCCCTACGTGTTCCCCTTGATGCGATTGCATGACCACCGCAACAGGTCGCTCTTCCTGCTCCGCCTCTCCTCTCCCTTCCGGAGCAGGCCACTCAGTCGCTTCCTCTCTCCTACCCTGCATTTTTTCAAAGGGCATGTCTCCCAGTCATGACCTTGCCTCCTGTAACGCCTCTCCCAGGCCTCCCTCATTGTCTGTGCTTCTTGGGACGCAACGGGGGGTAAGCGCACAAAGGGGGTTTTGGCCGGGGGCGCGAGGGCCTTGTGGGGTGCCCATCCCTCCGACCGAAACTGCTGGGCCTGCTCCAGTGTTTGCTGATCGAGCTGATCCGAAACCCCCGCCGGCATGGGCGGGAAACACGCTTGTGTGTGCTCTCTACATGCGGGTTTGCTGTGGAAGTGCCTCACCAGTCTAATGCGTTGATGGAAACACTTGCCGCACGCAAGACATGTATCCCCCGCTGCCCAACTGCGGTTGGGCCTCTTATATCCATGCATCTTTGTGGCATGCATGGCTAAGGCCTGTCTGCTTTTCCACGAGGTTCCACATTCATCGCACCAGAAGGTGTCCCTCTGCTGCGGAATCTCTGCCTGTGGGAGGCGCGGTTGGGGCACAGTGACCCCTTGGTGAGCGGCTCTGTCAACAAATCTACGCTCCCAATCCTGCATGCCCACTTGATTCGCCTGCGATCTCGCACAAGCCTTTTCAGCGATCTTCAACGTTTTTCCCCAATCCTGGGCATGCATGATGTGCTTGAGCCAAGCCCGAACATTTTCTCCTTGGGGCAACTTTCTCCGAGGGGCATGCGCAACCAACCACTCACAATCCTCCTTCACATGCGCAATCCAAGCACGGTCATCTCCCTCTGCCCCCAAAAGCATCGCCCACAAAATGGGCGGTGCTATGTGCAGAGCCCTTTTCACATACCGGAGCCTAGCCAAGGACAACCTCTGCCGAGGTGTCAAGGTGCCCAGCCGACCTGCCGCATCCCTTGCCCCCACCTCAAAGCAAGGCTTGCCCCCCTGCGCCTTACCCACCATCTCTGCCTGCCAGGCAGACAGATCTGCCTGCCACCGGTCAAGGTCCTGCCCTGCTACCCATGACCATACATGCACATTGTATGCGTGTCTGGTGACAACAGTGGCTTCAAAGACTTGCTTTTTGACTCTCATGTCAGCATGCTGATGCTTGTAGAGAGTCTTGCGCAGGGGACCATACGCACTGGCAGCCGCGGCCGCTCTGGCCCTCTTTTCACGCTCCGGCTTGGCCGACTCCTGGATCCAAGTTCCTAAGTGCTTGTAAGCATGTGTGACCGCTATTTCCTGGGGTCCGGCTTGGGTGGCCAGTTCGAGCTTGCCCTGCTGCTGGTTGTGAATCTGATCCCTCAAGATTTTACTCTTCCTCCCTCTCATTTGCAGGAGCATTTCCGTCTTGCCTTGATCGTAGTTGACCTGCAAGCCCCTCTGAGCCATCGTGTCATCAACCAGAGCCCCCAACACCTTCATGTGCGACACCAACGAATCACTACTATCCGCAGCCACCATGACAGCAAGATCGTCAAAAAAGACCACATCCAAGCAACCATTTACCACATGCCGGGGACCTTCATCGCTGAGGAGTTCATCCATGCGGGCCTGCGCCATACAAGGCACGCCCGCTTGCTTGATTCGCCTGTGCAAGTCTTTCATAGCCGACGTCATGGCCATGTTGAAAAGCACATCCCCTACTGGGTCCCCAGGCCTGGTGCCCCGGTGCGTCTGGACAACAGTATCTGTGCCTGTCATGCCAAAGTGACTTCCCGTCAACATGTCCGCCAAGACCTGTTCGTCATGACTGCCTCCCAAGCCAGCCGCATTGTCCTGCCTGGCTCTCTCCCTCAACCTATCCACTTCCTCCGACGCAACTCCAAGCTGGGCAAGCACCCTACAGAGACCTGCGTCGTCCAATGGGTGCTGCACCAACGCTTGCCGGATTACTGTGTAAAAGGCAGCTCTCAGATCCGTAAAAAGGACCCCCACTGACTTCTGCTGCCTATGCCCATGTGCAACCAGCGCCTGAACCATATGGTGGGCCATATCAACTCCATGCCTGCGTCTCCCACCCATCTGTGTGTCACATGCCTGGGACTCCCATTGGCCTGCCAACCGGTCCCTCAAGAGCGAGTGATGCATCTTAGCAAGATGATCCGAAACCAAAATAGCCCTGTATGACTGGGCCTGGCTGGCTGGCCCTTTGCCCTTGAACAACGGAACAAGCAACCCTCCCTTCCACGCTAGCGGCTCCCTCTGGATCAAGAGGGCCTTTGTGAAGAGCGGGAGCAACTTCCAAGCCAACTCAGTTCCACCCGCTTTCAAGACTGCAACGTCCAATCCATCGGGACCTGGAGCTTTTCCATTTTTAAGCTTCTTGAGCTTGCCCATGATTTGTCCAATTCCCGGGAGCGAGTCAACGTCTTTGGCAACCAACGGCAACTCAGGCACACGCTCAACCACTTCCACAAGTTGTTGCTGTGTCATTACCTCCCCAGCTTCCTGCATGGCAAAATGTCTCATGAAGGTGTCTTGCATCTGCTGGTGTGTTTCACACACCTCTCCATCAAGGGTTTGCATCTTGGGGAATGCTCGCGCTCCTCCTTTCTTTCCAGAGCCAGGCGCCAAGACCCTTCGCACAAGGCCATAAACCGTTTTGGCGTCTCCGAGCTGCCCCGCCGCTTGCAAATTATGAAGCGCCTTGACCAAGTAAGCATTTCTGTCCCTCCGGAGCAGGTGCCTCAGGTTGGCATGTACAACCTTGATTTCTGCTCTCATCTGCTCATGCCACAGCTTACCATGGTCATC